GGTACTACAGGTATTACTGGTACTACAGGTACTACACCTACTACGGGTACCACAGATACTACAGGTACTACACCTACTACGGATACTACAGGTACTACGGATACTACAGGTACTACAGGTACTACAGGTACTACAGATACAACAGGTACTACTGATACTACACCTACTATAGCTACTACAGGTTCTACACGTACTACGGATACTACAGATACTACAGGTACTACACCTACTACGGATACTACAGATACTACAGGTACTACACCTACTACGGGTACCACAGATACTACAGGTACTACGGATACTACATCTACTACACCTACTACAGGTACTACAGGTACTACAGGTACTACGGATACTACAGGTACTACACCTACTAAAGTTACTACAGGTACTACAGGTACTACGGATACTACAGGTACTACATCTACTACAGGTACTACAGATACTACAGGTACTACAGGCACTTCGGGTACTACAGGTACCACGGGTACTACGGGTATTACACCAACTACATGTGCTGCAMCTACACGGATCACTAAAGGTGACACCGAACGATGCAACACTACCACAACACACAACCCCAAGATAGTGCCAATTCGTGTGGTCATACATGAAGTAACGACCCTAGGGCGGCAGGTTTCGCTTTAGAAAACGTTTTTATCCATTTTCATCAACTTTTTATCATGTAGGCGGTTAAAATATGAAGTAATTATGTCCTGAATAGTAATATTAATACTTCAGTTTAAAGGAATCATCGTATCTTTGAACAACAGCAGAAAAAAATGGGTTAAATTGGTCGGAGAGTGAAGGCGGAAGTAAGCTTATGGCGTCATTTTCAAGTTGGAGAAGGAGATACTACACAAAAACAAGAAAGGACAATGTTAAGAGAGAAAAGTAGGGATTTATTCGAGATGCAAGTAGAATTTGGTCATATTGTCCAAGACTTGTCTCGTTAGCATATCATGCCTCGCCGAAAAAAGAAAGGAGGAAATCCCGCGGCTAAACTAGCTAACACCTTGCTAAATGTTGTAAGGAAGAACGACGAACGAAGAGCCATTGAATTAATTGCGAAAGGAGCTGATGTCAATTTCACTTTTGATGATGGAAAGACCCTATTGCTTTGTGCCATTTTCCACAACAGCCGTATCGTTTCTGTTTTAATCGATGCTGGTGCTGATGTCAATGCAACTGATGATAGAGGCAAGACAGCTTTAATGTATTGTGCTGAATATGCACTTGACAAAAAAAAGAAACGTAGAATGCAGATTAAATCTAATCAAGAACTGGTTTCTAAAATAATACAAAAAAAAAGTAAATGTGAACATCAGTGATAAGGAGGGAAAAACTGCTTTGATGTATGCTGCTATATACAATAGAGATTATTTAGTTAATGGATTATTAGAGGCTGGTGCTGATGTCAGTAAAAATGATAATGAAGGCAGAACTGCTTTGATGTATGCTGCTCAACAAGATAGCAAGACTATACTTACCTCATTGATTAAGGCTGGTGCTGATGTCAATAAAACTGACAAGGAAGGCAGAACTGCTTTGATGTATGCTGCTCAACGAGATAGCAAGACTATACTTACCTCGTTGATTAAGGCTGGTGCTGAAATCAATAAAACTGACAAGGAAGGCAGAACTGCTTTGATGTATGCTGCTAAACAAGATAGAAATTCTATACTTATCTTGTTGATAAAGGCTGGTGCTGATGTGAACATTGCTGATGTCCAGGGTATGACTGCTCTGTTGTTTTCTGTAAAAAGTAACAGGCCCAGTTTAGTTGATGAATTGGTTAACGCTGGTGCTGATGTCAATAAAACTGACAATGAAGGCAGAACTCCATTTAGGCATGCTCTTCAATTTAACAAGGCTGAATTATTTACTACATTACTCAAGGCTGTCGGTGATGTCAATGAAACTGATGATGGAGGCAAATCATTGTTGATGCATGCTGTTTTATTCAACAGAGCTGAGTCAGTTACTGATTTATTAAAGGCTGGTGCTGATGTGAATAAAACTGATAATGAAGGCAGGACTGCTTTGATGTATGCTGCTCAACGAGAAAACAAGCAGTTGGCATGGGGTTTTTATGAAGAGCCTTTTGGTAACAAGACTGTACTTATTTTGTTGATTAAAGCAGGTGCTGATGTGAACATTGCTGATGTCCAGGGTATGACTTCTCTGATGTTTGCTGTAAAAAGTAACAGACCCAGTTTAGTTGATGAATTGGTTAACGCTGGTGCTGATGTCAATAAATCTGACAATGTAGGCAAAACAGTGTTGATGTATGCTGCTGAATTCAATAACCGTTATTATTGGCATAATTATAATGAGAACGTAAATATACTCCAAATTTTGATTGATGCTGGTGCTGATGTCAGCATGGCTGATAATAAGGGCAAGACTGCTTTAGACTATTCTCTTGGACATAGCCATGTGGCATGTACATTGATTGATGCCGGTGCTAATGTAAAAGTTATTAACAGACATGCCCAAACTGCACTGTTAATGTATTCTTCAAGTATTGGGAATCAAAGTGTCATTCAAGAAATAATCAATGCGGGCATTGATATTAATGTCAAGGATGATCAGGGAAATACAGCCTTGATGCACGCTTTGGTGTGCAACTTTAAAAGTATTGCTTGTGCATTACTTGATGCTGGTGCTGATTATAACATCATTTATAGGGATGGTAAATCTGCATTGTTCTATGCTGCTGTCAGTGGTAATGAAAGTGTTGTCCAGAGATTGATCAAAGCTGGTGTTGACATGAACATCACTGATAATAAGGGTATGACTGCTCTGATGTATGCCATTGAACATAAAGAAGAGAGTATTGCTTGTGCATTACTTGATGCTGGTGCTGATCATAACATCATTTATAGGGATGGTAAATCTGCATTGTCCTATGCTGCTATCAATGGTAATGAAAGTGTTGTCCAGAGATTGATCAAAGCTGGTGCTGACATGAACATCAYTGATAATMAGGGTATGACTGCTCTGATGTATGCCATTGAACATAAAGAAGAGAGTATTGCTTGTGCATTACTTGATGCTGGTGCTGATCATAACATCATTTATAGGGATGGTAAATCTGCATTGTCCTATGCTGCTATCAATGGTAATGAAAGTGTTGTCCAGAGATTGATCAAAGCTGGTGCTGACATGAACATCACTGATAATCAGGGTATGACTGCTCTGATTCATGCTGTAGAAAATGGTAGAGTAAACGTTTTTACTGAATTAATAGATGCTGGTGCTGATACCAATATAGCTGATAATAAAGGAAATACTGCTCTGATACACTTTGCTAATAGTCACAAGAAAGGGAGTTCAAGTTGGACAGTGATTGGCATCATCCAGGGTTATTTTGATGGTCCTGAGAAGGATGATATCACAGACAAAAAAATCATTTCCAAGTTGATTGATGGCAACACTGACCTGAATGCAACAAATGATGAAGGTAAAACTGCTTTGATGTATGCCATCAAACATAACAAGGAAAATATTGCTTGTGCATTACTTAATGCTGGTGCTGATCATAGCGTCATTGATAATGATGGCCAATCTGCATTGCTCATTGCTGTAATTGTTGGTAATCAAAGTGTTGTCCAGAGACTGATCAAGGCTGGTGCTGACATGAACATTACTAATAATCAGGGTAGGACTGCTCTAATGTGTGCTGTATTGTATGGTAAAAATAAATTACCAGTAGTTGTTGAATTAATTAAGGCTGGTGTGGATGCCAATGCAACTGACAACAAAGGAAAGACTGTACTAATCTATTGTACTCAAGATAGTGATAGTGATAGTGATAGTGATGCAGAGAAAATTGCTATCAAGTTGATTGAAACTGGTGCAGATGTTAATATAATTGATCACAAGGGTAAAACTGCTTTAATGTATGCTGTGGAAAATGACAATGAAAATTTAGCCTGTGCATTAATTGACACTGGCGTAAATATCAATATCATTGATAAACAAGGGAAATCTGCTTTGAGTTATTGTGTTCAAACGAGAAAGATTGGCCATGGAAAATGTTTTTACATATTTGATGTTTCTGAGAGTATTGCATGTAAGTTGATCAAGGCTGGTGCTGATGTAAACATTACTGATGATGAGGGGAAAACTCTTCTAATTTATGCTGTTCAATTCAACAAGAAAAACTTAGCAAGTGCATTAATTGAAGCCAGAGCTGATTTCAATATATCTGATAAGAATGGCAAAACTGCTTTGATTTATTCTCTTCAAAGCCAACATAACAATCAGGAAAGTTTGGCTCTTATAAAAGCTGGTGCTGATGTTAACATCAGTGACCATGAAGGTCACACAGCCCTGTTCTATGGTCTAGCCCATGAAGATGTCATACGTGCATTGATTGAGGATGGAAATGCAACTATAAATAAGAGAGATGGGTATGGCAGGTCTGTGCTGTTTTATATCTTCACTGAGTCGACATTGGATTCAACTCATTATCTTCTTGAAAAAGGAGGCAATCTGAATTTGAAAGACAACTGCAACATGAACATCATTTCCTTTTGGGTTGAAAACATATTGGCAAGAAAAGAAGAATGTTTTTCAGTTCACTTCCAAAAGCTAAATACCTTGCTTGAAGTACAACCTAATAAAATATTTGAAGCAATTATTAATTCAGTGTTTTGCAAGATCTTTCATCTAGCACAAATGCAAAAAAGAAAAGGAAGAAGAAGACTAAAACATATTTTTGATGCAAGCAAAATTATTGCCGCAATGCAGTCATCTAAAAAGTACATTGCAGAACAAGCTGCCACAGAGAGAAATAAAATTTTAAAAGTCATAAAGTTTTTGAAAGGAGACAGGTATCTGTATACAAATCTTCTGGAAATTGCTGACTTTCTAGTTGAATTGGGTGCCAACCCCCATTATGCAGATTCAGATGGAAATACAGCACTTCACTATGCTACCTGCCTGCCTCTAGTTGGACCACATGAAATGACTCTTGTAATGACAATGTGCCACAAACTGGAAGATCTGGGAGTATCATTCAATGCAAAAAACCACAAAAATGAAACTCCTCTTTTGTTTTGTTTGTCTAAGAAAGAGTGGATAAAAACCAGTAAAAGCAGCTCCAAAGTTAAAACCTTGGTTGAAGTCTGTAAGTTTTTA